AAATTCCCCCATAGGAATCACTGTTTTGCGAATCGCTATAGCAATCGCAAAAAGCCAATGTCTAGCAAAAAAAAAACCTGTCATGCGGGGTAACTGTCTAGTGAGGCACCACTGTAACAATAAACATTAAAAGCAGAAATACTCCGTAATTTAAAAAGGCATAGAAACAATATGAGTTAATTGTAATTTTTTATTGGAAAACAAATATACAACTTGGAATGGATTTGAGGCAAGTTGTGCCATAAGCGGATTCTTTTGAAAATAAGTGGCTGAACAAAAGGTTTTAAAAGCATAGTAACCATAGAAGAAAATGTCTTCTGGTACAGGACCAGGAGTACAAAAAATAGTGTACGAGTACCTGGATAATACACCCGTTTTGCAATAGTGCAAACTTTTTAAGTTCCATATTGTTGACTGTACATAGTCCACACAGAGTTAAGACTACATTTCAACAACATGCTAAGTTTCCTAAAATAACTAATTTAAACAGGCATAACCTAGATGTCCCCTCGTTTGACCAACACCATCTAGTTTAAGAAGTGTAGAAGGGCTTAAATATCCAGAGTAAGCCACATGCAAACATTTGTTACTTTGATCATTTTCCCAAAATATCAGGATGACAGATAAAAGGGGAAAACATGGAGGAATGAGTTTGTTACTATACATGCATATTCTCTTGACAGTTGGGGAAAACCTTTTACAGATAAGTTACAAACAGAGAAAAAGGCAAATAAACAATTTGTACAAGAAATTTAACACATTCTGTACAGTGTCTTCACTTTGCTGTCATCATTTGTACAAACTCTGTAGAGGAAAAAAGACACGGTCAAGTTTGTAAGTATTCCTGTTCACAATCAGATGAAAAATTAAACAACTTGCTGTAGTGAGTGATTCTATTTATACCAGGCATTAAATTTCAGTAGGACTGCTCTCATATTGTCTACTTACTTTTTCCTAACCTTTTTTCACTACTAATCATTAGTGATCCCACTTTCCAATACATTTAGAGAAAGAATTCTTACAATAATCACCTCTTGTTCATGATTTGAAATATGGTCAGCGTCTCAGACACACCAATATATAATGCTCAGTTGTGTTTCCATAGTTCTTACACCTAACTGAAAAGCTACAATTAGCAAGTGACAAACCCATAGAGCCTTCAGACACAAGCTAACTAACTTATATTACTAAAGCTTTTTAAAAATTGTGCTTTGTTTTTAATTTGCACTGTAATGTACTATTTCGTAAGCCTTGTAAGTGTCCTAAACACATAAAATAGGTTCATGTAATGTTCTAGACACAAAACGAGAGCTATTAATTATATGGTCGTGCACACTATGCTACTACCTCTGTGAATTAGGCTAACTGAAATCAGCCAAACCAATCATAACCTTATACAGTAAAGTTGAAAGCAATCTAAAGCAGCAGCCGAAAATGTAGCAAGACCATTTCTAATTTCTCTAATGTAGTTCAATAATCAAGATAAATTTCTAGGACACGTTCTTAGAAAAACACCTGTACAGCTTTTTTTAAAAAAAACCAGACAGGCTGGTAAACTGAATCTTCATGAGTGGTTCTTTGGAGCTCTATGGGGAACGGTGGTAATGAGGCTACAATGGTACTGATGCCTGCGTAAAGCTTCTGTAACTTGCTGTGGCAGACTGCACAATTGGTTGTGTTATAAGGTATGTGATCAAGAAGCACTCCAGCACCGCATTAATTTGCCACAGTAAGTTATGCAAAACTTGTGTGGACACAAATAGAATTCTGGCCACTGGGGTCTGTGGATAGTGATAGACAGGATATATTGGACTAGATGTTATTCTTATTGTGAATACAGAAGCAGCAGGAAACAGAATGAGGCTAGAATACCCTAGCACAGAAGTCTCAATTTTGTGTATCCTAGCTGAGAGGCTCAGGCAGTTACACATTTTATCCAATTAGAAAACTGTTCATAAACTTTTACCTTCATAGTTTACTTGACCGTCACCATCAATATCTGCTTCTCTAATCATCTCATCAACTTCTTCATCCGTTAATTTTTCTCCAAGATTTGTCATCACATGACGAAGTTCTGCAGCACTAATATAACCATTACCATCCTGGAAAACATTGGTAAGTTACTTGACTATGTCAGTAAGTTGATTGCATTCCAAATTAAACAAGTTAGTACATGTGAAGTGTACAAAGACAATAGCAAGGTGACTCTGTTAACTATCTTGACTAGGTATAATTTGTATTCCTCATCCCCGTATGGCACCCTGAAACAGTTATTCCATTCTGGACCACCATGCACACAGTAAGTGCACACAGGGCATTTAAAGTTTCTGATTTTAAACTAAAACTATGCACTGTATTTGAATTCAGTAAAGTGTAACTGGGAAATACTTTTTTAAAAGTGGTTTTTAAAAAATGTAGTATAATTTATACTTCAGAAACAAGTAACATTTATGCAGCTAATTGTTGGCACCAGAAGTTGTTGTTCAGCTTGCCAATGCTAATGAAAAAAGGCTAATGAAATCAACAGAACCCCCTGCCAATGTTACAGTACAATGGCAGCATGGTATCTTGTTGCACACACCACTACACTATTTGAAATAGTTACAGAATGAGGACTTAACTGTCTCCAGATCATGAAGAAAGTAAAGAACAATTTGCACAAAAAACTTCTAGAGCAGTTATTTTCAGTCTTGGGTCCCCAGGTGTTCTTGAAATAAAACTCCCAGAAGCCTTCACCACTAGCTGTGCTGGCCAGAATTTCCGGGAGTTATAATACAAAAACATATGGGGACCCAAAGTTGGGAATCACTGTTCTAGAGCAGTGGTTCTTAACCTTTGTTACTCGGATGCTTTTGAACTGCAACTCCCAGAAACCCCAGTCAGGACAGCTGGTGGTGAAGGCTTCTGGGAGTTGCAGTCCAAAACTCCTGAGTAACCCAAGGTTAAGAACCAGTGTTCTAGAGCATGCACTAATACATAAAAGCCCTAATTTTGGCAAGCAAAGACAATGAAATTTACAGCTGGTGCTGGAGGACTGACTCCATGTTTTAACAAGCCTCATATGATGGAAAGGGCTTCACGAGATCCAGAAATTGATGCAAACCTCTATACTAAGTAATGAGTTACACCATCCACCCAAAGTGCAAATGGCTGTGCAACACTATTATATGTACAAAACAGGAAGCTCCCCCCAATCATGTGAAAATTCTTCCTCAGTTCCAGATAAGTCCTTCATGTACAGAAATTAAATACCTTATCAAATACACGGAATGCTTCTCTAATTTCTTCTTCGCTGTCTGTATCCTTCATTTTTCTTGCCATCATTGTCAAAAATTCTGGGAAATCAATTGTGCCATTGCCTGTAAAACAGTTTGGTTATTACCAAGAGTTCTTTTGACATTTAGTTACTAAAATGCTTTTGATAAAGCTTACCATCAGCATCTACTTCATTGATCATGTCCTGTAACTCTGCTTCTGTTGGATTCTGCCCAAGTGACCTCATCACTGTTCCCAGCTCTTTTGTTGTTATGGTACCGTCTCCATCCTTGTCAAATAGTGAAAAGGCCTCCTTGAATTCTGTGAGATAGAAAGATCAGACAACTCAAAAAGAGAAAGCTTGCAGGGTTTTTTTCTTCTACATGTATAAAGTAACATTTGCATGCTATTTTATAAAATCAATGAACTACAAGAGCACTGAGAAACATTACCAAATTTCTGTTGCTTACCCTAGAAAATTGCAGAATATAACAATACTCATGTTCCATCAAGTCAATTCTGACTTATGCTGACCCTTTTTCAGGGTTTCCAGGTACAGAATACTTAGAAGTGGTTTGCCATTCCCTTCTTCTGGGAGCTTCCTGGAACTGTGTAACCTGTCCAAGGCCACACAGACTGGCTCTATTCATAGAAGGCACAGTGGAGAATTAAATTCCCAACCTCTGCCTCCACAGCCAGATACTTAACCACTGGCCCACTGAATCAATGGGGGAATGTAGTGTAGCTTGAGAATCAGCTCATCCACAAGTCCCACTGATTGATACTGGCAGATTCTAATTACTATGCTAAACAAGTCACAGTTAGAAAAGGCCCACTGAATGAATGCAGATTTAGTGAATTAACTCATCTGTAAATTCTATTCATGTATGTCTATTCAAACTACAGTGCTAAAGTAAGTCATAGTTAGAGGAGGCCCATTGAATTGATGGAGCTCACAGTTGTCTCCAATGGACTTAGAATTATGTCTGAAACAACTGAGATAAATACAAGTCCAAAATAATTTGACTTCACTAAGGTCTGGTCAGCCTAAGATTCTAAATAATTTCCTATGCAACTTGGATTCTGGCAAAAATGATAACTTTTAAAATAATATTTCTAACTTTTCCACCTCCGGCACCCAGCTAGTTAGTTGGGTGCAAGAAATAACAAGATTCAGCTTCAAATAAAGATCAGTAATGTTAGATCACAATACATTTTATGCCAGTGAATTCTCCATCAAGTATGCACTGTGGGAAGTAGTATGTTGCTCAAAATACACTGCCCATCAATTTTACTGGGCAACTGATTTATACCAAGCTGAGATTTCATATCTGAGAAAAAACAGGTGGTATGTGCAATGACCACTGTCACTGCAAATGACATAAACCCTATGGCAGTTTTAAAATGGTGGCAATCTGCACTTTAAAAAAAATGTATTAGAGTTTTCACTGCCAACCAGCCAGTGGCAGTAGCCTTCCTGGCAGCACTGGGACTGAGGTAGCAGAGTCCTCTACTGTTCAACATATGGTGAAAATGTAGCAGCTGGAGCTGCCCCTGGCAAAAATAAAATCACTGCCTGGCCAGCACCGAGAGGCTTTCTGACTACCTGAGCCAGCTGGCGCCGATGTTTGTGCTCAGGGTGCAGGCGGAGCATCAGGAACTCTATTTTCCCTGCATGTTGAACAGTCAAGCTGCTGTTCCAACTCCAGCAATGTCAATAGCTGGGAAGCCTTTTAGCACTGCCCAGGCGGCTAGGATGACAAGACCTGCTTTAATTTGAGGAAGTGTATTAAAGCAGGACATGTGTTGCAAGTAGGTTGTGCCTGTCTGCACATAATCCACAGTAAAAGCTTTGTAAATTTATAGTTCCTGACAGAGAGGAAAAATCTCTGTGCAGGTTTCTCAATATAATTTAGAATATTATAAATTGAAACCATCAATATGTTTTTCTTCAAATGAAAGGTGCTTCAATGCCCTACACATTATCATTCTATGTCCTGTTTGTGGGCTCCCCTTAGGTAGCTGGCTGCAATGTCAACATAATGCTGGATGACACAGACAGACCGTTGATCTGATTTACCAGAGCTCTTTTAGGCTTGTCCACACCAGGTCAAAAAACAGAACTCAATTTCTGCCATGGGGACAGCTGGGATGTCATACACTAGCATCTCCAGTAAGAGAAGGCAGTATTTCACCACGTTCTATCACAGCTGATTCTCAATGTTCAGAATATCATTCTTGTGCAAAACGATGAAATATCAACATTTTCTTTATTGAGTACACTGGGCTGTTTCATGAAGCTGCAAAGGATATTGTGCTAGACATAACGAATACTCCCATGTATCACCTCATCTGTTAACATTAAGGTTTGCACGCCATGCAGGAGCTGGTGGGGTCAGATACATTGCAAGAAATGTGAACACATTGTTCATTGTCAGCAACTTTGGCAAGAAATCACATATCGTCAAGGGCAGGTATATTCATACAAACTTCATTCCTATGCCTCGTCGTCGTTCAGTCGTGTCCGACTCTTCGTGACTCCATGGACCAGAGCACACCAGGCACTCCTATCCTCCACTGCCTCCCGGACTTTGGTCAGATTGATGTTGTTAGCTTCGATGACACTATCCAACCATCTCATCCTCTGTCGTCCCCTTCTCCTCTTGCCTTCATACTTTCCCAACATCAGGGTCTTTTCCAGGGAATCTTCTCTTCTCATGAGATAGCCAAAGTATTGGAGCCTCAGCTTCAGGATCTGTCCTTCCAGTGAGCACTCAGGGTTGATTTCCTTTAGAATTGATAGGTTTGTTCTCCGTGTGGTCCAGGGGACTCTCAAGAGCCTCCTCCAGCACCACAGTTCAAAAGCATCAATTCTTCGGCAGTCAGCTTTCTTTATGGTCCAGCTCTCACTTCCATACATCACTACAGGAAAAACCATAGCTTTGACTATGCAGACTTTTGTTGGCAAGGTGATGTCTCTGCTTTTTAAGATGCTGTCTAGGTTTGTCATCGCTT